GTTCCTTTCTGGTCTATGTTACTTTTAGACTCTCTCTTTGCTTAGAGGACCCCTTTCAATATGTCTTGTAGGGCTGGTTTCGTGTTTGCAAATTCCTTTAGTTTTTGTTTGTCCTGGAAGCTTTTTATCTCTCCTTCTATTTTCAATGACAGCCTAGCTGGATATAGTATTCTTAGCTGCATATTTTTCTCATTTAGTGCTCTGAATATATCATGCCAGTCCTTTCTGGCCTGCCAGGTCTCTGAGGATAGGTCTATTGCCAATCTAATGTTTCTACCATTGTAGGTTACAGATCTCTTGTCCTGAGCTGCTTTCAGGATTTTCTCTTTGTCTCTGAGACTCATAAGTCTTACTATTAGATGTCAGGGTGTTGACCTATTTTTATTGATTTTGAGGGGGGTTCTGGGTGCTTCCTGGATTTTGATGCCTGTTTCCTTCCCCAAATTAGGGAAGTTCTCTGCTATACTTTGCTCCAATACAACTCTGCCCCTCTCTCTCTTTTTTCTTCTTCTCAGGTCCCAATTATTCTAATATTGTTTCGTCTTATGGTATCACTTATTTCTCGAATTCTGCCCTCATGATCCAGTAGTTGTTTATCTCTCTTTTTCTCAGCTTCTTTATTTTCCATCATTTGGTCTTCTATATCACTGATTCCTCTTCTGCCTCATTTATCCTAGCAGTTAGAGCCTCCATTTTTGATTGCACCTCATTAATAACCTTTTTGATTTCGACTTGGTTAGATTTTAGGTCTTTTATTTCTCCAGAAAGGGTTTCTCTAATATCTTCCATGCTTTTTTCAAGCCCAGCTAGTATCCTTAAAATCATCATTCTGAACTCTAGTTCCAACATCTTACTAATGTCCTTATTGATTAGGTGCCTGGCAGACGGTACAGCCTCTTGTTATTTTTTTTGAGGTGATTTTTTCCATCTTATCATTTTGTCCAGAGGAGAATAGATGGATGAGAGAACAAAATGCTAACAGGGTAACAACGACCCCAGAAAAATATTCTCTAAACAAATCAGAAGAGACCTGAAATGGGGGGAAAAGAAAGGGAAAGAAAGAAAAAAAAAAAAAAAACAGAAAAAGAAAAAAGATAAAGATAAAAAAAAGAAGAATGATCACATATGATCAAGCTGGTTAATAGATGAGTACCACACACTAGATTTGGGGTGTATTTTGGTCTTTAGAAGAAACTGCCTCCCAAAATTTTAAAGAAAGAAAAGCTTAGATATGTACAAAAATAAGGGTAAATACGATGGAGGGATGAAATATGAATGTAATGATGAAAATTATAAAAGATTTTATAAAAGGAATTGATAAGAAGTTGGTTGAAAAAAGAAAGAAGAGAAATTAAAAAAAAAAAGAAGGGAGAGAATGTGATCAGGCAGGAGACTAGAACAAAGGCATACACTAGAGATTTAGGGTATATTTTGGTCTGTTAGAAGAAACTGTATCCCAGGGGGGTGGGAGGATGAGTTAGCCTGGTGGTGGGTATTGAGGGCACATTCTGCATGGAGCACTGGGTGTTATGCACAAACAATGAATCATGGAACACTTCATCTAAAACTAATGCTGTAATGTATGGGGATTAACATAAGAATAAAAAAAATTAAAAAAAAAAAAAGAAGAAACTGTATCCCAAAATTGTAAAGAGAGAACAACTTATATAGATATGCCAAAAATAAGGTTAACTACTATGAAGAGATAGAATATGACTCTAAAAATGAAAAATAAAAAAGATTTTTAAAAAAGGGATTGATAAGATGGTGGTTGAAAAAGGGAAAGAGAAAAATTCAAAAAAAAAAAAAAGAAGGAAAAGAAAAAAAAGAAAATTAAAAAAAATTAACTTTGAAAGATTAAGGAATCAGAGGGGAAAGAAGCCATGAATTCTATGTGCAGTATTCCCCTAGCACTGGAGTTCTGCCATTCTCACTGATCAGTAAACTTGGTCTTGGCTGGCTGTTCTCGCTCATCTTCTGGGGGAGGGGCCTGTTGCCGTGGTTCTGAAACATCTTTGCCGGAGGTGGAATTGCCTCACCCTTGCTGGGTCCTGGCTAAGTAATCTGCTCGGGTTTGTTCTCGGGAGCTTTTGTTCCATGCAAGCTTTTCGTACAGCTTTGGAGGACGAGAGTGAGAATGGTGGCCTCCCAATCTCTGCCCCGGAGGAGCCGACAACTCGGGGCCCCACTCCTCAGTGAGCCCCCAGAGAAAAGCAGTCAATCACTCCCCTCTCCCCGGTCTCCAGCCGCACTCCATGCTCACCCAGCCTGTGACCGAATGTTTCTATATCTGTCTCACGACGCTGTTTGGAGTCTCCAAACCCAGCAGATGCCTGCAGGAAGGAAGGGGAGTCTCCCGGATCTGCCACTTGTTGGGTCCCTGCTGGAGGAGCAGTGGCCCGACTGTGCCGTGGATCACGGTTTATGGCAACCCCAAGCTAAGAGCCTGCTCCTCAACTCCGTCTCTGCAGCCGGCTTCCCTGCTCCCATACCTGGGAGCTTTGCCTCAGTCAGGCACCCCTGGTCTTTCTGTGACCCTGAGGGTCCTGAGACCACACTGTTCCAGCGAGGGTTTCACCCCCCACTTAGCCACTGGAGCGATGTCCCTTAGTGGAGCCGACTTCTAAAAGTTCCGATTTTGTGCTCTGCGGCTCTATCACTTGCCAGAAGCGGCCGACGGAGGCCGCCTCCCCCGCCGTCTATCTTCCCGAATATCGCCTCAGATTCACTTCTCCAAACATCCTACCTTCCAGAAAGTGGTCGCTTTTCTGTTCAGAGAGTTGCTGCTATTCTTTTCATCCATCTCCTGTTGAGTTTGTAGGTGTTCAGAATGGTTTGATCCCTATCTAGCTGAATTCCTGGGACCAGACGAAATTTAGGTTTTCTACTCCTCCACCAATAAATAAAAATCTTTAAAAAATAAAAGAAGTGACCTATTATTCATTCCCAACTTCTTTTAATTAAGACAATTTTCATATAGTGCACAAATCTTAAATGGAGACCTTGATGAATGGTTATACATAACCACTGCAAATATCAAGATGTAGAACATTTCTGGCATCTGAGAAGTCTCCCTCATGCACCTTTCAGTCTATAGTAATCCCCATTTTTCTGATGTCTACCATCATGTGTTCATAGATAAGCTTTCCATGATTTGAGAATGGAACCTTACAGTTTGTACTCTTTTGTGCATAGCTTGTTAAAGTCTATATTATGTTTGTGAGATCCATTTATGTTGTAATTTATCAGTATTTCAGATTTTTGCATGGATTTATCATGTTCTATTTACCCATTTAGTTGTTGAGGGACCTTTGGAATGTTTCTAGAGCTTTGAGATATTATGAATTAAAGCAGTTATAAACAGAAATGGCCTCCTTTTCTGTTGAGTATATACCTAGGAGTGAAAATCTTGAGCATTTTTTTTTTCTTTCTGTATTGGTTTTTTTGTTTGTTTTTAAGCCCTGGACCATAGTCTAACTTTTCTAAGTTGCCCAATGAACCATAACAATGTAACTCTCTTTAGGCATGACACATATTCCAAGGGGGCAGATTTTGCAGCTTAAAATGGAACACCAGTAGTGTACTATCTTTCATGGTCCATTCCTCACAGCACTTCATAAGCTCCTTCACTCTCGGGTTTTTGCCTGGAACCTTTCTATTCTGCCTTGATTAACTCCTTTTTATTCCATGAGGCTTAGCTCAAGTCTTGCCTTCCCTGACCATTCTGAACTGGATGCCTCTTTTCCTTATTCCCACTCTCATCTGTGTATAACTATGTCTTTCTTAGCCCTTACCTCCTTGATCTGAAATGATCTGTGTGTACGGCAGCCTCTTTCAGTAGGCTTTAAGTGCTACAAGGGAGTTTGTTCATTATTGCATCCCCATTGCTTAGCAGAATACCTGGCAGAATGTCCATGCCCAACCTGTATTGACAGCCTTGTTCTTCTAACATCTGGTTGGTGTTTCAGTAATGAAATCTTCTTTTAAATCATTTGATTCAAAGAAAGTCCCCTGGGGTTGAAAAAGTTCCAATACAATTTAAAAGGGAAACTTCCCATTGCTTTGTGATCTCATCTTTTTCATTCAGCCTTTTCTATTTTTTTTTTTTTAATCCGTGGAGTTGGTCTCTGAGAAATGCTGTTAAATAAGGGTTCTATGTTGGAAACCTCTTAATTCACTGAAGTGAGACAGCCAAGTGCAGTAGTTTAGCACACAGGTGCTGGAGGCACACTGCCAGGCCACACTGGGTGGGGGATTTTTTACCCGTCTGCTTCCAGTTCATCCCCTGTGACACAGGACGAATCACAGCCCTCTCCCACAGGTTGTTGTCAGGATTTACCAAGTAGTACACAAAGCAGTTAGAAGACCTAGTGAGTGCCCAGAATATGTTGGCTTCTGTTATTAAACAAAGTGAAACAGTTTTTCTTTCTACCTACTAGAAGATCACAGAAATGTCACAGTCAAGTTGAATATACTTTGGGAGATTACTGTCTTATCAACTTAAAGGAATATTAACATTTTCTGAACCAAAATTGGGACACTGGTTTGACAAGTGGAAACGTAACCTGGGCACTGGGACATAGTATTTGAAATGAAGACTGTTTTAGCAATCCTACCAGCAAACAAATAAACAAGACCTCCAAGTAACTACATTTCAGAATCTTTCTTCTTAAAAAATTTTAAGTGCAAGTGAAATAACTTTTATTGATTCTGAAGTGAGGACTGCAAATATTATGTGAATAAAAAAGCATCTGGGCTCCATGCATCATTTTCTGATATAGTTGGAGAATTATTGGTAAGAATGAAGGGCTGGGCTTCCTTTTTCAAAAACTCATGCCATTTATCTTAATTCTGGTACATCTGATAAGAACTTCCTCTACAACGAACCATGAGAGACGATGGACTCTGAAAAACAAACAGGGTTCTAGAGGGGAGGGGGGTGGGAGGATGGGTTAGCCTGGTGGTGGGTATTGAGGAGGGCACATTCTGCATGGAGCACTGGGTGTTATGCACAAACAATGAATCATGGAACACTTCATCTAAAACTAATGCTGTAATGTATGGGGATTAACATAAGAATAAAAAAAAAAAAGAACTTCCTCTACAACCAGGAAACTTTGCAAGTATGAAATAATCTGAAAGAAGAGGGTAAAAAAAAGGAACACTAAAAAGAGGAACACTAAAGCAGGTTTAACCAAAAGAATAGAGGAGAGTTTGGCTCAACAGTCTCAAGGTAAGTGAGAACCTGATTTAGGGCATGTGGCTAATGAAAAACTGTAAGGAACAAGTTCATTTTAAATAATGACTTTTTTATGTTATCAGACATAGTTTTTAGGTGGCCTTTGGTGGCAGTAGGGGGAAAAATCAGTTTACAAACTGAGGGTGATGTTAATCTGCCTTTACCAGTATATATGCTTACACATTAAGATTAGGCTTTGCTATTGTCTTGTTTCCAAACAGAAGGGCAGTAATCTGCCTTTGAAGATTCCAGCAGTCTATCAATCATTTGTGATTTTAAGACAAATGAATAATTGTTAGTGTGTTGGAACTGTTTCCTAGAACAGGAACAGCCTTCTTGCAGATTGGGCAAAATGAGACTTATTGGGGTGTTAAGCCAGCTTTGAAGGGCTCTTGTTTAACATACGGTTTTCATTCTAGTAGGTCTTTCCATTTTGCCTCTCAGAGTTTTTCCTATTGTTTTAGAGCAAAGAAAAGGATGCATTTCTTCTCTTCTAAGAAGTCTTCTTGTATTATCTCAGTAAGTACTTCTTTGACAGTTTTACTATTTGGAATGTTCTGGATTGTCTACATAGAACAACATAGATGGTAAAAATAAATTCTCATCTTGGAAATTGAGAGGGCAATTTGTTACCTAATCCTCAGCAATAGTCAGCCTTCCCCACTTTTGTTGCAAGCCTAGAATTTTAAAAAGGTGATTAATTTTAATATATATTTGAAATTCAGTTCAAATATGCTACCAAATTTTTACTTAAATGAGTAATGACTTATACCATAAATTATCTTACCTACAATCAGTTCTTACCTGTTTTAGAAAGGAAATGAGGTCCTAATGGGGGTTAAAGTCATTTGCCAGATATTTGCCTTTGGACACAGCATCATGTGTGGTCTTTATAAAGGAGGGAACCTACAAAGGTTCCAAAGAAATTAATAGATGTCTAGATCTGGGATATCTGTCCATACAGTTTTATCAAATAAATTTTATAAACGTTAACTGCATTTCATATGTAATTTGGTATTTTGTGTGAAATGCCAAAATGAAAATTTTCACGTGATATATTCCAACCTTGAACAAATTTAGAAAAGTTGACTGTCATGTGTGAACACTCACTGAAAGAGAGCTCAGCTTTGTGGGGTTATTTTTTCCCTGTTTATTGTTGCCACTGTTATCCTAATGCTGTTTGCTCCATTCATTAACAGATATTTAAGAAAGTAGCTCTTCTGTGTCTAGCTTGGTTTTGGTAATATAAAGATAAATAAGAACTCCGTCCCTCAAGAAGCTCAGAGCAAATCGAGCTATAAAAATTTAGTAATAGATGTTCCTGATAGCCATTTATTGAATTTTGGTTAAGAATAGTATTTTGGGGCAAATTTTACTTGAATCTTGATTCAGTCACTTCTTAGTTACTCAAGTAGTTAAATTCTTTAATCCTCTCCTTACTCTTTTCCAAAATAGGCATAACTATAGTATCTAATTCATATGGCATCTGTAGGATCAAATGAGATCATCCATGTAAAAGTTTTTAGAAGCTGATCCAAAATAAGATCTTAACAAAATATTATCAATGGTGACATTCAATAGATGATGATAATCACCCCACAAGCACTATTAACAATATTGGATGACTATAGTTAACAACACTGTATTGTATATTTGAAGGTTGCTAAGAGAGTAAATCTTAAAAGTTATTATGGGAAGAAAAAAATTGTACCTATGTGAGGTGATGGTCATCAACTAAATTTAATGTGGCCATCATTTCACAATATGTATTCATGTTGTATTTCACATATGTATTCATGTGTCAAATAATCATGCTGTATACCTAGAACTGATACAATGTGTATCAATTATATATCTCAATAAAACTAGAAACAGCAACAACAGTGAAAATGGTATTAGATATAACTATTTCTGTGTCTAGGCTGAAAACATACAGTAATAATGTTTTGTTAATAAAATCATAATACACTGCTCAGTTTGGTTGAATATTTTTCATTTCTCTCCTCTGCCGTTTTAAAGCCTTGGTGGAAAACATTCTGAAATTATCTTAATTGGAAAGTTGTTTGCTGGAAGTTGTGAGAACACTAGTGATAGAAAGCCTTTCAAAGTTTGTTTTGGATATTTTGTGTTAGGTCAAAGAGCTGTTTTCTTCTAAGTGTAAACTATACCCTTTAGGGGTATCTGGGTGTTGGTTAAGCATCTGCCTTTGGCTTAGTTCATGATCCCAGGGTCCTGGGAATGAGCTTTGCATCAGGCTCCATGCTCAGTGGGGAGTCTGCTTCTCCCTCTCCCCCTCCCACTTGTTTTCTCTCTTGCTATCTCTCTCTCTCTCAAATAAATAAAATCTTAAAGCAAAACAAAAAATCTATACCCTTTAGAAGACATATCTTAAGTTTTTAAATGATTTAAGCAATTAGATGCTGAGATTTGGAGTCATTTGTTTCTTGACTCCCTTATTTAATAAATATCAATTGAATTTCTTTTCTGCACTAGGTACTGTGCTATTCTCTAGGAATATACACATGAAAAGATCTGATCCCTGCCCACCATTTAACCAGGTAGGAAGACACACAATTCCCTATAACTTAGGCTGTCAAGCTATAATAGAGAATGGACTCATTAATAGGGGAATACAGAGGAAGGAATGATTTGGAAAAGGCCTCACAGAGGAGGTGATAAATAATGGAAATTATTGCACAGGTGTACTCTTGTCCCTTCCTCTTGTTGCATTCAAAGCATTGTCTTTCACTTTAAAATTATTAGCCTTATTGTCAAAATCCATGTTGAAATCTAATTGATAAAACCACTCAGGCTTGAGCAGGTAAAAGTTCTCTTTTTCTCTTCTCACAACAGCTGGTACTGTATTCTCTTTTGAGGCAGGAACTCACTAAATTATGGTGCTTAATATATTGGTAGATATTGACAGATTTTTCTATTATGCTATGTAATAAATATGTAATTAATTTGTTTTTTAATTTATAGGAGGTGTCTGGATGGCAGATCGTTCAACCCTCTCTTTCTTGAGTTGTCTGCTCTGCCATTATCTTCCACTCATTTTTGCTTCGTCTTGTGATTCATTGATAGAAAGTGAAGTGAAGTCAATTAAAATCCCCCCCGACACAGTGCAATTATACATTAAGGATTGTAATGTAAAAAGCATCACATACAACGAGAAGGATCATCCAAAGCTAAGTTTATTCAATCTCTCCTCTAATTGTATCAGGACTTTGCCAAATGATGTTCTTCCACATCTGAAAGAGAAATGCCTAAAAGAGCTTCCAGGATTACTTTTTAACAAAACCCTAAAAGGAATTACGTTTGTCTGCACCTGTGAATTCATTAAGGGCTCCCCCATATCACTAAACAACAGTGCTTGTGCAGAAATGTTGAAAAGCTGTAGAAATACATCAGTGGCCACTTTAATAGGAATTTCCCTTCTTTTCCTCTTGTTGATCTGTGGGATTGGGTGTGTTTGGTGTTGGAAACATGGTAATCCAGTGCAATTTACCTTGCCAAAGTTCTTGCAAAGGAGAAGCAGCAGGAGAAAAGACTGTACTAAAACACTCTCAAGTCTCCTCGCTATCAGCTCAAGAAATAAAATCTCAGTTCAGAACCAAGACTGCAGATCTTCTGGGAGAGGGACTAACACACATGGCAGCTATGAAAATGTGGAAAGTGGTGCTCCCAAACCTAAAGAAGAGACTGATAAAGAACTATATGAGAACATTCAGCAGACCAATTTTGAGGAGCATATCTATGGAAATGAGACACCATCCCAATATAACTTCCAGAAGCCTAGTACTTCTGAAGTCTCTCAAGATGAAGACATATATATTCTTCCAGATTCATAATAACTTTTGAAAATATCGGGTTTAGTTACCAGAGGATAAATAGTCACTGGGACTTGTATTTTACTGATGTCATTGTTAATCATGTTCTTTGGATGAAACTCAATGATCTTTCATCTGTCTCCACCCTGCTGAACCTTCTGTCTGTGTATCACTGCAGTTTAAATCCTCTTCACTCACCTTTCCCTAGATTAATTCTACATTATGTTATATTGATTCTTCCTTCTAAATGTTACCTGTTACCTTTTTCTCTTATTTCTATCTCCACCATCTTTTTCTGGCTCAAGATTGTGTCAGTTTTCTAACTTGTCTTTCTGGCTCCAGTTTCTGCACATTCAGTCAGTTCCCATGATGCTGCCAAATTTACCTTCAGAAAATATTCCCGATGCCACACCACTCCTTTGCTTAAGACCTCTTAATGGCTCCTCTTTGCAAAAGACATACTACTTATAATTCTAACTCCAGAATTTAGGATTTCCCACACTTGGTTCCAGTTTATTTTTCCAGTGACTTCTACTAATTTCTCACTCCTCTGTTTTCATCAGAATCATCTGAAAACCTGCCAGACTCATCCCTCCTCCTTGGCTTTGCTTGTCTGCCCCATTTCAAGCCTGCCCCAGATGGCAACTTCTTCCACAAGTCTTCTGAATTATTCCAAACCTACCTTTACCTTTTCCTTTTCTGATCACCTGTAGATTTTGCTGCGTGTTTAATTCTCTGGGCATTTAAACATCTGAATGTTTTCTATGGCATTTTATGATTTAATGTCATATGAGAATGTCTTAAATTCCTTGCTAAATAACAAGGAAGTGCCTCATCTTCATATTTTAGCTCCACTGCCTAGACCATCAATATGAGGCATTTGGTATTGTTTAATTGACAAATAATTAAATTGTACATTTTGCTCACTAGTTTTGAGAAAAATCTAATAAATTCATCCATTCAAGAAATGTTTATGAAGTACCTTCTATCTACTTTTACTCTGTCCATGGCGGGAGTAAAACAGCAAAAAGAAAGACATGGACCCTGAACGCATGTTGTCTGGCAGGAAAGAAAAGACAATAAATAAACAAATACTGTGCTACTTCTTTATGTATTCTATCTTACCCCTGAACTCAGCCTTTTATATGCTGCTCTGAATTGCTCAGGCTGAGGCTCTGCAGACCACGTTTTTCCTTTGCCAAGTGGGTCCATATTAGGCTCTTGTTCATAAGGAGCAGTGTGGAATATGTAGGCAAGAGGAACTGAAAGGGACTTGCTCTTTCTCACCTCCTTGTTGTCCCAGCGGGTACCATTGCCAAGCAGTTTACTCCAGCATCTCCAGTTGATTGCAGTTTCTAGTTTTTTCCAGCATTCCCAGAGAGGGCTTGACTGCACCCTGTCAGAGGTGCCAGCACCAGCCTGGTAGCAACCTCTCCTTAGAATCTGAGAAGCAGCTCTGCAGATCCTCCTCCATGGGACCGTCAGAGCTCCAGATCCCAGCCCCAGGTGCCATCTCCTGCACCCACTGTCTCTGTGGCGCCTCAGGGTCCTCTTTCTTCTTCTCGGTCAAACAAGACCTTTTGGCTAATTGTCTGTATTAAAACCTCCCTGTTAAAACAAACTGGTATGGATTCTATTTCCCCAGGTGGACCCTGATATACAAATTGAAAAGGTGGAATAAGTGCTTTGAGAAAAAAAAAAAAAAAACACTCTAGTTTTTGAGAGCAAGGGGTTTGGGTAGGGAAGAATTTTAATAGGATCGTCAAAAGGGGCCTCTCTGAGGACACACTTGAGCTGGGCCTTGAGGGTGGAAGGAGTTAACCATGCAAATCAGAGATGGGCAGGGATGGCACCAGCATATGAAAAGCTTTCACATTTGGTTTGGCCTGGGATGGCTGCAGCGCAGATAAAGCCATTGACAGTGCTGCCCTCGTCTTTGGAGGAAGGACCACAGGACTTACTGATGGACTCACGATGTGTTTTATAGGGGATGGTTAAGATGGAGGGGTTGTGGGAAACAGAGAAATCTAGAAGAACCACCTTATTTCTAGCTGGAGCATCAAGGGCAATTATAAAGCATTCCGATGAGATGAGCAAGACTTAGAGAGGAAAGAGTTTTAGAGGCTGTGTCAGGAATGACTTGGGCTGCCAGTAACAGAAAATGTGGCTACATTGGCTTAGACACGTACACCTTCATTTATTTCAAATAACGTGGCCACTGAAGTAAAACCTTTGAGGGCTAGCGAACCTCGGCTAACAGTACCATCAGAGATCCGTGTTCTTTCTCTATTTCCTCTCTGCCACCCTGGGTGCTGTAACTTTCAGCCTCATTTGTGTTATCTCATGATCACCAAGTGATTGTGGAACATGCAAGCCTTATATCTGTGTTCTGGTCCTCAAGAAGGATGAAAGGAAAAGACAACACCAGGAGATGCCTATTTACATGTTGTTGGCCAGAATTGTGTTACACAGATCCCTGGAAACCACCAGGTATCAGAGTGGATGGGAAACTGAGTTGTGACCTTTGATGGCCTCATAGGAAAGGAGGCAAGGGAAAAAGGCAGCTGGAAATAGAATTTAGGTCAGTAACCTACTACCAAAGGGGCAAAATCAATTTTGGACATCTTTATTCTGATGCGTCCTGAGACCCAAGGAGAAATATCCAGTTTGCAGTGGTATATACACATTTGGATTTTGGAGGAGAGCTCCTAACTGGATATGTACTTTTGAGACCTGTAAGCATATAGGTGGTATCTACAGTAGCAGGGATTTATGGGATCACATGGAGCAAAGAGTAGAGAACCAAGAGAAAAGGAGAGGAATCCAGAAGCCCCCCTCAGACTACAATATTTCAGTGCTAGCTCAGTGAGGAGAATCTAGCAAAGGAGCCTGAGAAAGAATGGCCAGTGGGGAGTGCCATGAATTCTTATGATCTCTAAGAATAATGGTTGATATTGTGACATAGATGATATATTGACACATACATTATAGTTCACTTTCTAGAGATGGGATGAATATTTGATACTTGTTTATTCTCTTTGGCCAGAAGAGATACTAAAAGTCTGTGTAGAGGAAGTATTTAGTCCATGATCTTTTACCCTGTTCCCATCTTGACTTCTTTTTTGAATTAATTGCAAGTTCTTTATCAATTGAAAATCTCTTCCTACTTTCCTTACTAGCAGTTCTTGATGGGGTGGGCAAAGGGGAATAAAGGATATTGTCATTCATCTTCTCTTTTTACTGTGCTTACTGTCCATTCTTTGTCCTTTCTCCAGTTTTGATTCCCTCTTCTCTTCCTCCTCTCATTTCCCATTCCTCCCTCAATTCTCCATATCACCCCCCCAACTCTGCCTCCTTCTTCTCTCTCCTCTCTGTCTCCTTCAAATTTTTATCTGCTCCTTGCATCCTTTATTCCAATATTTCTCTGCCTTCTTAAAATCCAAAAAGCAAAAATGTCCTTGAGAGGTAAAGATAATAAAATCTGTCTACATCTACTGAGAGTAGCAGTTTGTATTTGTGTTATATTATTAGAAAAAGTGACCACTTGTACCACAATTAAAGAAGGAAGGATGTCAGGGGTGCGGGAAAGGAGACAGGAACATCAAATATAATGAGTGTAGCTTTGCTGCATGCTCCCGGAAATGTAGGCATGTTCACATCCTGTGACTTATAGCTTATCTCTGTAAGACTCCATGGCCAACATCCAGCAACAACGAGCACCTGGCTTCTTCAGCTTGCTCTCAGCCTTCAGCTTGAAACATTTCACTTCACATAGTTGATGAGTTTTCATCAATGAGTGGCAAGACATTGAACAATATTAAAATGATATTTTGACTTATGTTTTGCTGCTTGGAGAACAATAACTATGTCAGAGAATCAACTTGGCTACTTTTGTTACTGTTAAGACATGAAGACCTCAGACTTCAAAAGAGACAGTGCTTCTGTTTTTGAAGGTCTAAGAGTCATTGACCATAGTTAAGATATTGTGTACTAGATTATAATCATCATCTGCTTTCTCTGCTCTGGAGTCAAGAATAGGAAGCTTCCAAGTAGAAGGAGGCTCCTTAAAGAAATCAGAAGACTGTTTGGATTTGAAGGATACTCTTTGAGGAAACTAAACTCTCCTATCTAAAGAAGTGAGTGAAATATGGTCATTTAATTGAGTGTTGGCATCAGAGTGATGTTCACCTCATAGAATTCTCTGGAAGAGTTTGTATAGAATTGGTATTTCTTCATTAAGTGTTTGCATCTGTGAAGCTCTATAAGCCTGGCATTTTCTTTGTAAGAAGTTTCAAAAATACAAATTCATTTTCTTTGATTGAGATAGAAATATTAAGTTGTCTATTTTTAAATGAACTCTGGTAGTTGATCTTTCAGGAAATTGGTCCATTTTTTCTAAGTTGTTGAATTTATTAGTGTTAACTTATTCATAACATTCCCTTATTATCTTTTAAATTATTTTTTTTAAGATTTTTTATTTATTTATCTGAGAGAGAGAATGGGAGACAGAGAGCATGAGAGGGGGAGGATCAGAGGGAGAAGCAGACTCCCCGCTGAGCAGGGAGTCCGATGTGGGACTCGATCCCGGGACTCCAGGATCATGACCTGAGCCGAAGGCAGTTGCTTAACCAACTGAGCCACCCAGGCGCCCCCTTTTTTTTTTTTTAATTATTTTTTTTTTTAAGATTTTTTATTTATTTATCTGAGAGAGAGAATGGGAGACAGAGAGCATGAGAGGGGGAGGATCAGAGGGAGAAGCAGACTCCCCGCTGAGCAGGGAGTCCGATCCCTTATTATCTTTTAAATATCTGTACGAAATGATATCATCTCATTCTTGATATTAGTAATTTGTGTCTTCTATTTTCAAGTGGTTTTACTGACTTCCTTTATTGTTCGTAGGTTTTCTATTTCTTTGATTGCTGCTCTTAATTATATTTTTTATGCTTAATTAGCTTTAATTAGCTCCTCTCTAGTTTCTTAAAATGGAAGCTGATGTCATTGGTTGAGTCCTTTCTTCTTTGTTTGTATAGATGTTTAGGGCTATACATTTTTCTGTAAGTACTGCTTTAACTGTGTCTCATACATTTTGACCTGTTTTATTTCTATTCAGTACAAAATACTTTCTAACTTCCCTTTTTATTATTTTGAACTTTGGGTTATTTAGAAGCTTGTTATTTAACTTACAAATGTTTGAGAATTTTCCAGGTATTTTTCTTATTGATTTATAATTTAAATTCACTGTGGTCAGAGAACATATTTTATATGATTTGAAATATTTTAGATTTGAAATTTGTTCTGTGGACTAAAATATGGTTTATCTGGATAACTGTTTCATGTGAACTTAAAAAGAATGTATATTCTGCTTTTGGCTGTATCATGCTGTAAATGGCATTTAGTTCCAATTAGTTCAAGGTGGTTGACAGTATGGTTCAAGTCCTTTATATTATTTTTTTTAATGAAACACAATTTACATACCATAAATTTTACTTTTTTAAAGTATACAATTTAGTGGTTTTTAGTATATTAGCAAAGTTGTGCAAATTTCATCACTGTCTAATTCCAGACTATTTTCATCATCCCCAAAAGAAATCCCTGGGTAGTCACTCTCCATTTTCCTTTCTTTCTTTCCCTGATGTCTTCATTCAGTCTGCTGTTAACAAAAAATACAGATTAAACAAACATTTATTTCTCTCAGTTCTGGAGTCTGGGAAGTCCCAAGATCAAAGTGTCAGTAGATTCAGTGTCTGGTGAGAGCACACTTTCTGGTTCTTAGATTGCCATGTCCTCATTGTGTCCTCACATGGTGGCACGTGGAGGGAGCCCTCTGAGATCTCTTTTATAAGGGCACTAATCCTATTTATGGCCTAGTCCCCTCCCCAAGTCCTACTTCCAAATACTATCACATTAGGTATTAGGTTTTTACATGTGAATTGCGGGGACACAAATATTAAGTCATAGCGCCTGGCAACCACTACTCTACTTTCTGTCTCTATAAATTTGACTATTCTGGATATTTCATATAAATAGAATCATATAATATGTGGCCTTTATGACTGACTTAAGCATAGCATTTTAGCACATGTCAGTATTTCATTCCTTTTTATGGTTGAATAATACTACATTGTATGAATATGTTACACTTTGTTTATCCAGTCTTCAACTCATGGGCATTTGAGTCGATTCCTCTGTGTTCTTGCTGATTTTTCTGTCTACTTGTTCTATTACTAAGAGAGGACTGTTGAATTTTCTGATATAGTTATGGATTTTGCCTGTTTCTCCTTACAATTTTACCTTTTTTTTTTTTTAGCTTTTGTCTTATGTATTTTAAAGTTCTGTTATTAGGTGAAGAAACATTAAGTATCTTTGTGTCCTCTTGATTATTTGGCCCCTTTATCATTATCAAATCACAATCTTTATTCTTGGCAAGAGTCCTTACTCTGAAATATCCTTTGTCTGATATTAGTATAGACATTTCAACTTTCTTTTAATTAGTGGTAGTATGGGATATTTTTTCCATCCATTTGCTTTTAACCTA